TTTTTTTTTTTTTTTTTTTCTTCCCCTCTTAATCTGAACATGCTTCTCCAATTAAACTATCCAGGCTTCCAGGTGTGTGTGTGTCTGTGTGTGTGTCAGGATGGGTAGGGGAGTTAAGTATCCTTGGATAATCAAAGCTAGTTGGGAGGGAAGATTAAGATTCGGGCCCGGTTTCTGAGTCTTCACATGCTCTTTAGATAATCTTGAAATATTTGAAAACTACTTTTCTCCTGGCCCAAATCCAGTCTTCATTTAGTTTTTACTTGGGCAGAACTTAAGGTCAGCAAATTATGCCCAAGAAAACTTCAGATTTTTGCACTATTACGAACTCGATCCCACAACACAATGGCTGACTAAATTATTGTTTTCAAGGTTGTTTTGGAGTTGGATAATTTTTTTTGCAACCATGGCATGAATTTGCATTTAAAGTGCAATGAGTTTGTTCATTGCAATGCTGTCATGTCGCACCTGCCAGCTCAGACAGGGACCAATAACAGTTAACAATTGTTCTGGGAATTGCTGTGGTGTAAGAGCCCCAACAGGCACAGTCTCGAGGTAGTAATGCTTTTTCCCTGCAAGATGCTCTGCAGTAGGAGTCATTGTTGAGTTATTCCTGTGCATAGGATATTCTGGTTACCGTTACCACTCACAGGAGCCATAAAGTGTAATTAAATCTCTGGAATAAATTGGCTGTGTGATCATTATAGGCAGTGCTTCTTGAGGATTCAGGACATGTGCAGTAATCTATTACTTACTTTTTTGTGAATTGTTGGTTCTTCCTCTGTCTTCCCAAGGCAATAGTAGGTAGGGTCACATCGGCTGAAACATTAGAATCTGAATTGCCATAAAGAAACCATTTACAAAACACACCTCTGAGAATACCTGCTAGAAGTTGGTGGAGGGAAAACAGCAAATACTGAATGTCAGCCCCTGGCCTGTTAGTACCAGATACAGTGTATTTAACAACTAAAGCAAGTTTACTTAAATAAAAGTGACAACCACTTCTTTTTTTCAACAACAACAAAAAAGCAACACAACCCCTCATCCCCCTTCTTTGAATCTTACTTTTGTAGAAACGTATTAACATTTCATAGATTTATTTGTGGGGGTGGGAGGGGAACAGTAGGCGCAGACAGAAGTGCATCTCCCTACTATAACTTTGAAGGCTTTGTAGGAACTGCTCTCAGTTGCAATGTTCCCCTGGACCAAACAGAAGTTCATTGTTGGTTCCAGCGGGGAGGGGAATCTAGCTGCTAGCTGCCAGCCCAGTGGCCCCTCCTCTCTCTCAGCCTGTCCCTGTTTCAGAATGGGAGGATGGGGAGAGGGAGCTCCTTCTAGGGGTTCTGCAGCTGGCACTGGAGGGTAGGGTGGGTGAATTGGAGCACCCCCACCTTGGGAGGCTTAGTACACCTGCCTCATCCTTCAGTGGGGACTGAAGAAACCCCAGACCAAACTCCCTTTCCCTCCTCCCATTCTGAAAACGGCTCGGAGGCTTGCAGGTAGCACAGACGCAAGTTACAAGAGACACTCTGCTTTGAAATGTCTATATCTGAACCCTCATACAATGAGGCTTCAGACTTTCACCTGAGCAGACATTTTTTTTAAGCAGTCTGAGTTTGACTAAGAGTTTGCAGTATAGAGCGTACCCATCATATTTCTTTACATGCGAGTGGGGGAAATTGGTTTAGTAGCATCCCATATTTAAGGTTCTGTTCTCAGTAATTGCATCTGATCTAATCTGTTTTTAGCTAACACTTTCTATATGGATCAGCTATGTATTGTTGTCATCTAAAATTACTTGTAGCCCAATGCTACCTTTGCTAGCAGTTTCCTCCCCCACGATTTTCCACATGAGCTGGGATTTTCCTGTCATAGTGCAAGTAATGCTGATAGTATGCATCTGTACACTTTACTCTCCCAATACTTTAAAATGCGAACAAAAGATTGACTTCTGTTTCATAAGCTCATTCTCCCTTTGCTTCCCAAAAAGAATACACAGCCATGCCAAACCACATGAAACAGTTATGCAATAGGAGCTCCCACATGGAAAAATAGATCAAATCTCACTTATTATTTACAGCACTATAGAACTGGAGGCTCTGTCAGTGCCCTGTTGGGCTAACTTTTGTGTACTGGAATAGGGGCCAAACCCTACCACAGTGAGTTTACAGTCTTGTGCTCAGGTTAATCAACAAAATGAGGCAAACAAGTGAGAGAGGAGAAGAGAGAGGTCACAGAATGACAGTGTTCAGTGGTTACCAGCTGTCTTAAAATAAACCTTTTTATGAAGATCCCATTTCTGTCAACATGTCAGGCTTGCCCTGAAAACACCTACCAAGCTGGGCCCTCTTAGGGACCAAGGTAGAGGAGCACCTAATACCTGGATCTCAGTGGGGGACTAGGGTTTTGGTGCACATTGCTGCATCAGTTTAAAGCATCTAACACCTAATTGCTAAACTGAAGTTTCAAACTACAAGACTATGATGTGTAAGTGGCTCATAGTAAGAATTCAAGTTGCACGTGCTCTCTTCTGGGAAGAAGTAGAAGTTCCTTAGTTTACTGACTGGGTACCTCAACTCTACGTATCTTTGATGAGGGAAGATAGTGGCAAACATTGAAGTTGACTTAAAACTATTCTTTGCATAGTTTCCCACCACTAGGTTCTTATGGTATATTCCAGGGATCAGTCCTGCTCTGGCATTGTTCTGGACTCCTCAATGGATTCTGAGTTTCATGGCATTAAGCTTGGTTTTCAACTGTTGGTCCATCTCCATAGAAAAATGGATTTTCTACACACAGGCCCCAGAAGTGTAGCTGCTTAGCCTATGAGAAATTGTATTCACAGACATTTAGGGCTGGAAAGAACCTCATGAGATCATGGGGTCCAGCCCCCTGCTCTAGGCAGGAAAGACTGTGGGGGTCAAATAACCCCAGCAAGGTGTGCGTCCAGTCTCCTATTGCAGATCTCCAGGGTAGGTGCCTACACCACCCCGCTGGGAGTCTATTCACACAAACAGTGAAGTTTTTCCTTATATCCAGTCTGGAACCTTCTATGAGTTTATGACCATTGCTCCTGGTTTTCCCCTGGGGCACTTTATGAATAGTTGCTCTCCTAGCCCCTGATGCTCTCCCCTGATATATATGTAAACTGCCACCAAATCCCCCAAAGTCTTCACTTTTTTCTAGGCTGAACAGTCCCATATCTGTCAGCCTTTCTTCATATGGCTTGCTCCTCAGGCCTCTAATCATACAAGTGGCTCTTCTCTGGACTTTCAAGCTTTTCCACATCCTTCTTGAAGTGTGGCGCCCAGAACTGGACACAGTACTCCAGCTGTGGCCTGACCAGCGCCGAGTAGGGTGGGAGAAGAGTTTTGCTTGAGATGCATCTGT